GACCAAAAGCCATTCCCCAGCAGATAAATGACTAAAGGATATGAACAGGGAATTCTCAAAAGAAGAAGGGTAAGCCATCATCAATGATATAAAAAAAAAGCTCTAAATCACTAATAATAAGAGAATATACATTCTCCCTCATAATCACCAGATTGGCAAACTTGATAAAAAAAAGAAAATAACACTTTCTAGAGGGGTTATAAGGGGACAGACACACTAATGCTCTGTTGGTAGAGTAGTGAAGGGGTCCAACCATTCTGAAAAACAACTTGAAACTATACCTCCCAAATCACTAAACTACTCATACACTTTGACCCAGTGATACAATTTACTAGTAGGCATATACCGTTCATTTCCTCACTGCCCTCTTCCCTAAAGTGATCAGAGAATGAGAAAAAGGATCTACATAGGCAAAAATATTTATAATAATCTTTTTTGTTGTAGCAAAAAACTAGAGAAACAAAGTGGGCACCCATCATTTGGGAAGTAACTGAAAAAATTATAGCATATTAATGTAATGGAGTGTTATTATGCTTTGAGAAATGATGAAAGGAATGGATTCAGAGAAACTTGGGAGGACTTTTATGAACTGATGAAGAGCTAAATAAGCAGAACCAGAATAACTATTTATATAATGACTACAACATTGTAAAGGACAACATTTGTAAAAAACTTAATAACTATGATCAATTAAATGACCCATTACAACCCCAGAAGACCGAAGATGAATCATACTCCTTATCCTTTGGCAGAGAGATAATGTACTAGAGGTGCAGAATGAAACATGCATTTTCTGATATGGCTAATATGTGGATTTGTTTTATAGGACTATTTTGAGTATTTGTTATACAGAAGGGCATTTACTTTTTGGGGAGGAGATAGAGGGTTACAGTGTCATACAAATTAGCTAAAACCATGTAAAATAACTAATTTTATTGACTTACATAATAATCCTTACAAACTTTATACCCTAAAAAAGTTTTACTTTGCAGTATATTGTTTTGCTGTAATCACTTGTTTTACATAATTTGACATTAAGTTCAGAACTTACATATTACAAGGAAGGGCTTTTATTTGTAAAGGGAAGAGTTACAGTGACATGCAAATTAAGTGGGACAAAGCAAAACAAATTTATTGACATATAATAAACCTTATGGGACAGGTAGGTGATGTGGTAGATAGAGTCCTGGGCCTGGAATCAGGAAGACTGATCTTCTTGAGTTCAAATCTGCCCTTCACCCCTTACTAGCTGTATGACCCTGGGCAAGTCACTTAACCCTGTTTGCCCCCATTTCCTCATCTGTAAAATGAGCTGGAGAAGGAAATGGCAAACAACTCCAGAATCTTTGGCAAGGAAACCCCAAAGATGTGGTCATGAAAAGTCGGGTATGACTGAAATGACTTAACAACAAAAAAACTTATAATTTTTCCCTCTGTAAAAAAATTAATGAATATGCAATGTGGCCCTCTTGGTTGTAATGATCTGTTTTCCATGATTGTCATGATTCCACTAGCTTTTGACAATATTTTTTCATTCTTCATCATGAAAATACACTTACCACATTTTGTACTTTTGAGCAGTATATTTTTCCGAATCTAACCTGGATTATAGCTAATAATTAATAAGATTTTCAATGGCATTTAAGTAGGGGGGTGTGCTGGAGTTAGCTCAGACTGGCTCCTCAGTATTTAAATGATACAGAACTAATTAAAACTGGAGAAATAAGCTTAATTTGGTTTCATCTGATCAAGGTCAAATTCCTGCGTCAGTCTGGTATCCGCAGAAGCACACATACGTGACCATTGCTGTCGCAAAATGAAACCACATCAAAGTTATTGTTCATCTCAAGTTATATGCCCAACACTGTAGGAAGGGAGGAACAATCTGTATATATGTCATAGTGATACAAAAAAAGAGAAGAAAAGAAAGAAAAGCATGTCAAGAAATCATTAAAATATATAGAGAGAGGTGGCAGAAGGGTTCAGAAGAGGATAAGCAGAATATACATCCCTACAGGAAAAAAAAATACCTAAATCTAATCCCAAACTATGCATAATAAAGATTAAAGTTTTCTTATATAGTCCTCTTTTTTCCTCTATTCTTTGTACATATAAGGAAATGTTCCTGTAAAAAGAAATGGAAAAAAAAAGTTGAGCCTGCTGTTAATTTCAAATATGAGAGATTTATTTTTTCCAAGGGAGGAAAATGTTTAAAAATACATATAAAATATTTGCTAAAGGGACTGGTGTGGGAGGGTGGCTCATCACCTTCTCCTCTGCTTTGCAGATAATAGGCTCATTCCTTATAATACTTGGCAAATTCAAAGGACTTCAAACCACAATACCAAGAAACAAGCTATCCTCTAAGCTGATATTTCAGTGGTGTTTTTGTCACGGGCAGGAACTGAAATCAGGGCATAGCAAGTTTACTCATTCAACAGGATTTTATTGAACTCCCACACTATTCCTAACACTGTGCTAAGAATTGCTACCAGAAATGGTAATACAATTAGCCTTCTCATTTGTCTAAACAACCAAGGTCGTAGTTAAGGTGAGTCCACTTATGTGGCACTGAACCAACTGTGTTTAAGGATTCAGTCAGTACTGAAGGGCGGAAGAAAAGGGAAGAGAAGGGAGAAAAATATTTTTATGAAAGGAGGTTATGTAGGTTGGTTATAAAGTTTGTGTGCAACTTTAAACTTTAATAACCTTAGCTATAGAAATGATAGAAGCACATTCTAAATGTCATATAAAAGGTAGATACTTATTTTTTTTTAATTTATATTTTTGGGTAACAATTTTTTTAAAATTTTGAGCTTTAAATTTTCTCCCTTCCCCACCCATTGAAAAGCCAAGCATTAGGATATCTGTTATATATGTGGTCATGTGAAACATATTTCCATATTAGCCATGTTGAAAAAAAAAGCAAGAAAAATAAAGAAATTGAAAAAAATATGCTCTCATCTGCACCCAGAGTTCATCACTTCTGTCTCTGGGGGTAGATAGCATTTTTCATTATGAGTCCTTTGGAATTGTCCTGGGTCATTGTATTGACCAGAGTAGCTAAGTCTTTCACAGTTGATCATTGTTACAATATTGGTGCTGCCATGAACAACGTTCTCCTGGTTCTGCTCACTTCACTTTGCATCAGTTCATCTGTCTTCCAAGGTTTTCTGAAATCATCTCACTTGTCATTTCTTATAACATAATCATGTTCCATCATGACCATATAAAAGATGGATTCTTAAAGTTGGTATATATTTATGTTGTCAATTTAGGATTAATTAGTTTTTATTTCTTTTCACAAAAACAATTCGTGGAATTACTGAATAGTAAATGAAAATTGGTTTAATAAATGCATCACAAGTGGGGACAGTTATGTTGAAAGTTAAAAACAATCAAGCTCTATTCCTTTAAAACTCTTAAGTCTTAGCTTTTCTATATCATTTACCATATGCTTCTAACTTATGTATACCTAAAGTTTAGAGTCAGACAAGGACTTTATAACCACACTGTAATTTCTGTGGTTACCAACACTGTAGCCTGCTTTAGAGAGGACACTTGTAATGATTTGACCCAGTGTATATCAGCTTCAGAGTAGATTGGGATCAAGCCTTCTTAGATCTTAGTTCTTGTGACCGATGGAAGACATTTTCCAGGCAGTTGGCTTGGTCAGGGCTATCATCCATGACCATAGAGGAAAATTCTTTGTGCAAAGTTTACTGACCCTTAAAAAGATGATTTCAACTTCCTTAGCATAGTGCTCTAAGGTGTATTGGTAAATGTTTAACAAGTGGTTCTGAAAAAAAAAATACCTATGACATACTTGTAAGTTTAATCTGCATCATTAATATTTTCTACCTCACTTCTTAAGTTTAAACAGTTAAAACAATGCATCAAGACCTGATTTGTAGGATTTGGCAATTTCTGAATTGTAAATGTTCTCAGTGAAATTTTAACAGCTGGCTTTCAAGAAATAATTCCAACTGGGTCCAGCATACCTCTGGCTTCTAACCAATTGGGAAACCCAGTCATGAGTCTCCAGACCTATTACAGTCATATTGTGAGTTTGTGTTGATGAAGGTGAAAGAGAAGCAAACAATCAGTAAACATTTATTAAGTGCCTACTATGTGCAAAGCATTGTGCTAAGAGCTGGGGATAGAAAAAGAGACAAAAGACAGACCTTGCCCTCAAAGAACTTACAATCTAATGGGGGAGATAACACACAAAGAAACAATACAAAGCAAGTTATTTACAGGATAAGTAGGAAATAACAGTGGGAAGGGATAATAATTAAGAGGGGTTAAGAAAGGCTTACAGTAAAAAATGGGATTTTAGTTGATACTTAAAGGAAGCCAAGGAAGTCTATAGGTACAGTTGAGGAGGTAGAGCATTCTAGGCATAGGGAACAGCCAGAGAAAATGCCTGGAGCTGAGAGATGGAGTATTTTGTTTATGTTAACGTAACACTGACAGAATATTGATGGAGTCATTTGAATGAATGGTGAACTTCTAGGAAAATATTTATTTTCTTTTCAAAAAATATAATGCTTGAAAAAAATAAGGGTTTTAGGGGCAGTTAGGTGGTGCAGTGGATAGAGCTCGGGCCTTGGAGTCAGGAGGACCTGAGTTCAAATGTGGCCTCAGACACTTGACACGTACCAGCTGTGTGACCCTGGGCAAGTCACTTAACCCTGATTGCCTCACCACAAAAAATAAGGGGGGGGGAAGGGTTTACTGTTGCTTTCTTTACATCAATGTCATATCCTCAGTTAACCTCCTTCCACTTGCCCTTTGGCCAATAGAACCCTCTCTGGGAATAAAGAATAGTTAAGCACAATAAACCAGCACACCAGTCATATCTGCTTTGAGATATGCTTCATTCCATACCTATAGTCTACCAGCTCTCCTGAGAGGAGGGAGAGATGTTTCACTGCTGATTTCCTGGAGTCAAGATGAGTCACTGGATTGATCAATTTTCTTTTTCGTTTTCTTTTCAGAATTGTGAAGTACAGTGAACAGTTCTCTTCCAATGATCCTATCATGTCAGGATGTCTCCCTAGCAACCCCTGGATAACTGATGATACTCAGTTCTGGGAGCTAAATGCCAAATTGTATGTACCAGACATTTTGAAAAACAAAACTCAAATATTTTTGTGTATTTTATATATTATTATTATTATTATTGTTTGCAAGCCAATCCAGTTAAGTGACTTGCCCAGGGTCATATAGCTAGTAAGTATCAAGTGTCTGAGGCCAGATTTGAACTCAGATTCAAATTCAGTTTGACTCCAGGATCAGTGCTCTATCCACTGTACCACTCAGCTGCTCCTATTTTATATATTATTAACCAGAGGTTCTCAGGCTTTCTTAGGTAATAATTCACTTAGTGGCTCAGTAATTTTTTCATTGAGCCCCTAGGCCAAAAGAAATGCTAACAGTTCTGTTTATTGGGTAGTTAGGTTGAAAATTTAAAATATCCCTTGATATCATTATGAGTTTGCTGCCCACCCAAGAGCGTGAGGGTGCACAGTTTGGGAACCAAGGTTTAGACTATAAGCTTCTGAAAGGCAGGGATTGCCTTGTTTCAATAATTTTGCCAATCAATTTATTGGGTTCATAGTTTCATAGGTTTAGAACTAGAAGGGACCTCAGAAGTCATCCCACTCATTTTGTAGATGGGGAAACTATGCCCCAGAAAAGTCGTGACTTGTGCAAGATCACGCTGGTTCTTGTGGTTCTATTAGTATTTTAAAAATTAGCATGATTTGTATTTATCACGTCACTGTGATTGTATACATTATTGAATGGCAATGTGGTATAGAGGACAGAAAGCCAGATGTACCTGGGCTTGATATATACCCACATTTTGACACGTGTTGACTGTGTGATTCTGGCCAAGTCACTTAACCACATAGTGCCCCAGGCAAACTTCTAAGACTATAAATCACAGTACAGTTGTCGATATGCATTGGTGGAGTGAATTTCCATGCTAAAAGTTTGTTACATGGATAAAATCCCTGGTCTAATCAATTTATACATGATCTATTATATTATAATATCATTATAGTTATTATTATTATGCAGCATCCATTGAAGAAGCAGTAGGGTATAGTGGAAAGAGCATTAGCTCTGGAGTTAAATGGCCTAGGTTCAAATCCTGCTTGTGATGCTGTCTGTGTGACTATCGGCAAGTCACTTAACCTCTTCAGTCTTCAGTTTCCTAATAGATAAAATAAGGAGACTGGATTAGATGGCCTATGAGGTCCCTTGTAGCCCTAGATCCTATGATCTTACTAACCTGTAGCTTCATATAATGGTAAAGATATGGAAGGGAAGGAAATCAATTGATCAATCAACATGTTTATTAAGCACCTAAATCTGGCCTCAGACATTCACTAGCTGTGTGACCCTGGACAAATCACTTAACCCTGTTTGCCTCAGTTTCCTCATCTTTAAAATGAGGTGGAGAAAGAAATGGCAAACCACTCCAGTATCTCTGCCAAGAAAACCCCCACTGGGGGTCATGAAGAGTTGGATACAACTGAACAACAACAACAACAACAATGTGTGTGTTAGCTGCTGAGTACAAAGAAAGAAACAGCCCTTACTCTCAAGGCACTTATATCCTACTGGGGGAAACAGCAAAGACATATATGATTATATACAGAATAAATATAAAGAGAATAAAAGTAAAGTAGCTAAATATAGGCTATTTTGAAAGGGATGGCCCTAGAAGATGGAGGGATCAGCTTCATTTAGGAGGTAATTAAGTTTAATCTTTTAAAAATATAGATTTTTATTAATATATTTTATTTTTATATCTCTGTAATTTCCCCCATACTCCTCCTTCTCCCCCCATACAGTACTATGATCCCTTAAAGCAGCGAATTAAGTTACTTTTTGAATGAAATGGAGTAGAGACAAATAACAATGCAACAAATATCCATTAAGTGGCTTTGTTATTTAGTTATTTCATTTGTGTCCCATTCTTCCTGACCCCATTTGGGGTTTCTTTGCCAAAGATTCTGGAGTGGTTTGCCATTTCCTTCTTCAGCTCATTTTACAGATGATGAACTGAGGCAAACAGGGTTAAGTGACTAGCCCAGGGTCATACAGCTAGTAAGTTTCTGAGGCCAGATTTGAATTCAGGAAGATAAGTCTTCCTGACCCAGGCCTGGGGGCCTATCCACTGCCCCATCTAGCTGCCTCCATTGAGTGTCTACTACTTATAATATGCCATGCTAAGCAATGGGGCTACAAAGATGAAATGGTTTCTATTTCTAAGGAGCTTGTGACCTTATAGGAGGACAAGACATTTATAAATAGATTTTATACTGGTTAGGAAAAGCAAACAAACAGATCCTTAGGCATCAACATTGAATCATCAGTGTGGAAATTAGTATGTGAAAATAAAGGCCTACTTGTTGTAGGCACCTCAAAGCCCAGTTGAGCAATTTTTAGTGATGGGATTTATAGATGGGATTCATGATTTTTGTAGAGGTTAAACAAGATGATTTCTGAGATCCTTGCACACTCATTTTCCTCTTATGCAAAATGAGGGGGTTGGTTTAGATAATCTCCCAAATCTCTTCTACTCCTAAATCTTATGAATTCAGAGATTCTTTGATGCCAGATGTTTCAGTATTCTAAGGGCTCTCCATGATGGACAATGTATTGTGCGCCTCCTGAGCTCTTCAGCCATCAAAAGCAACTTGTGTTGTGAAAGCTCTCTGTGCTAGAAGTTATTTCAGTAGTAGTTAGTTGATGGGAATAGAAGCTGCATTCATAGAGCATGTAACTGGAACATGATGACATCATCTGCCTCCACAATAAATGGCCATGTGACATTAGGCTGGCCAAATTGTTTGCTTTCAGTTGAGTGAGGCTTTGGGGGGTAGGTGAAATAGATGGGAAAATGCTCACCTTACTGCAACAGAGCCATAACAGGCAGTGGTACATTTTTTGGAAAACCTATTGATAAAGCACAAGTTGAAATTGCAGAACCTGAGGAATTCCTAGGGGCTGTGATGATTTTTATTTTTGTGCTTCAAGTGTCTAGCACTTGCCCATTGCACATAATAGGTGCTAAATAACTATTTCTTGAACTGGATTCAATTGAACATTTGCCTTTGGTGCAAGTTAGTAGTTGGCTCAGAGTTGGCCGCCATCTGCAATTGCTTGGGGAGAGCTAAAAAATATCTTCTAGGTAGGGGAACATAAACTGATCAAAGTAATTCTTGATCATGTTGTTAACAAAGTGCTGAGAGACAATAGAAACACTGAAACACCCCAAAGGAAATTTTTTTTTGAGATTTATTTTTTATTTTATTTTTTTAATATAAATTTGTTTATTTTTAGTTTTCAACATTCACTTCCACAAGTTTTTGAGTTCCAAATTTTCACTCCATCTCACCCCTCCCCCACCCCAAGATGGCATGCATTCTGAATATCCCTTCCCCTAGTCTGTCCTCTCTTCTATCTCTCCCCAACTTCTCTTATCTCCTTCCCCTTCTATTTTCCTGTAGGGCAGGATAGACTTCTATACCCCATCTCCTGTATTTCTTATTTCCCAGTAGCATGTGAAAACTTTTTTTTTAAACATATGTTTTTAAAACTTTAGGTTTCAAATTTTTTCTCTTCCTCCCTCCCCACCTACCCTCATTGAAAAGGCAAGCAACTCAATATAGGTTATACATGTGCAGTTATGCAAAACGCTTCCATAGTAGACATGTTGTGAAAAACTAACTCTATTTCCCTTAATCCTATCCTGCCCTCCCATTTATTCTATTCTTTCTTTTGACCCTGTCCCTCCTCAGAAGTATTTCTTTCTGATTACCACCTTTCCCAATCTGCCCTCCACTCTATCATCCCCCTGCTCTCTTGTCCCTTTCTCCCCCTATTTTCCTGTAGGGTAAGACAGATTTCCATACCCAATTGAATGTGTATGTTACTCCCTCCTTAAGCCAAATCCTATGAGAATAAGATTCACTCATTCCCTCTCACCTTCCCCTGCTTCCCCCTCCACTGTAAGAGACTTTTCTCTTCTGTTTTTTTTGTGAGATAGTTTACCCCATTCTACCTCTCCCTTTCTTCTTCTCTGAGTATCCATCCTCTCTCATCCCTTCATTTTATTCTCCAGATATGACCCCTTCATCTTCAACTCACCCTGTGCCCTCTATCTATCTATCTACATATACATACATATAATTTTTTTCTTCCAACTACCCTGATACTGACAAAGGTCTCATGAGTTACACAAATATCATCTTTCCATGCAGGAATGTAAACAGTTCAATCTTAATAAGTCTCTTATGATTTCTCTTTCCTGTTTACCTCTTCATGTTCCACTTGAGTCCTGTATTTGAAAGTCAAATTTTCTATTCAGCTCTGGTCTTTTCATCAGGAATGCTTGAAAGTCCTCTATTTCACTGAATGACCATTTTTTCCCCTGAAAGATTAGGAATTATGCATATCTGCCTTGGGACACAGACTCCCTCCCATTTCTCCTAAGCACCAGGGTAAGGCTTTGGTTCCTTAGAGATTCAACTTCGTAACCTACCAAAGAAGTAGCAAGTTGTACATAATATATTTGCAGTTTCTTGTGCAATCATCTTTTTTATTATACTATGTTATAGAAATGCTTGTTTTATTCCATAAATTAAAAATAAAGAAAGAAAAAGGGGGGGGGGAAAGCTAATGCCATTACTTGCTTTCAGGTTCTTGTTATTATTTTGTTTTATTTTTTGCTTTTTGGTGAGGCAATCAGGGTTAAGTGACTTGCCCAGGGTCACACAGCTAATAAGTGTCAAGTATCTGAGGCTGGATTTGAACTCAGGTCCTCCTGACTCCAAAGCCAGAGCTCTATCCACTGCACCACCAAGATGCCCCTTCAAGTTCTTATTCTTTCAGGTCAAATTTATTTTGGGGCAAGGAGAACCTTTCTTTAGGACTACAGATCATAAGACTTGATTTAGAAAGGAATGGCCCTTAGAGATTATCTAGTTCAACTCTGCCATTTTCCAGAAGAAGAAACTGAGTCCCAGAGAGGTTGTGACTTGCCTGAAGTCTTGTGGGTAGCAAGCAACAAAGGCAGGGTGTAAATCCTAGTCCTTTAACTTCCGTTTCAGCATGATTTCCACTATCCCATTCTGTTTTTGCTCTTCCATGAAGGTTGGTGGGGGATGAGGTGGGGGAGGAGAGAGCATACAAAGTTGGTGCTATAGCATCTTCTTTTTCTGAGTCTGTATGTACATGTGATGTAGGTGTCCTCCCTCCTCTTTCAGGGTGGAGATCCCAACCAAAATGAGGGTGGAACGTTGGGCTTTTAACTTCAGTGAACTGATCCGAGATCCCAAGGGACGACAGAGTTTCCAGTTTTTTCTGAAGAAAGAATTCAGTGGTATGTCTAACTTTAATCTCCCTTACACATCCTCTTTTTTATGTCTCTTTTCTATGAATCTTGGGAGGTTCTCAGGAAAGTACACTTTCCTGGATGTTCTTACAGTTTTATTTGTTTTGTGCTCACTCTATAACTACTTCCTTTTAAAGCTTTCAGAAATATTTGTCAATCCTGCTAATAGCTGACATTTATATAAGGCGTTTAAGTTTGCAAGTATTTTATATAATTTGTCTCATTTGAGGTTCACCACAGGATAGGTACTGTAGGAATTATTATCTACAATTTACAGGTGAGGAAACTGAGGCTCAGAGAGGTTAAGTGAGTCGTGGTTACATAGTTAGCAAGTGACAGATGTGGAGTTAACCTTGGCCACACGTCACAGGACTTCTTTCACCTTTTTCCTTTGCCCACATCCTCCCCCGCCTTGTCACTCAGCAGGCGAAGTACTCTACTATGACGCATATCCTTGAAGTTTTTTTCTCTCTTCTTAAACATAAATTCTGAGACAAACATAGAAGGGGAATGGATGGAAAAGCGAAGTGTATGAACGTCTTTAATGTCTCACTTCCTGATTCCCTTTAGCTATTTTTTTTTCTTTGTCACATGCTATTTGTCCTGCCTGGGCAGGATCAACTTTGATGTCCAATCTCAGGAAAAATAAAAGTCTCCTTAAGTTGTTCCCTCACGCATCCATAAATATGAAGTGATGTCTGAGAAACAGCTGGCCAGATCAGGAAGCAATGTCAGAGGGCAAAAACAACACACAGATACACACACACACACACACACACACACACACGTACACAAATCCCTTCCTTCCTTAGGCAAAGAGTCAAACTGGTTGTGTGAGCTTACTTGAACGTTATCTCTTCATCATTCCCCATCCCCTAACCCACCCCTCAGAGAGAGCTATTTATTTGAGGTCTGATACTCAAGTTACCTACGTGAGAACAACTACATGGCCCCTATTTCCCTTCCAACTGAGATTCTGTTACTCCTCTGTAAGATCCATTAGCTAATTCTCATTGACATACCAATAACCTGTCTGACAGCTTCTTGTAGAATATTATTTAATGATATGACTTGTTAAAAATTCTTCTCTGTAATGCAGCCTAATTATAGTGATAAAACCCAGACCAAGAGAAGTGCATTCATTTCCACAGAGAACCAAGTGGCCAGATGAGTACGGCTCCATCTAGTGGTCCAAGCATCAAAATACAGCTGCTAACGATTCGCCCTTGGTATATATATCACACCCACAGTTCTACTAATTGTAAAAAGAATTCTCTGCAACAGTCCTTCTGTCATTTCTTGCTATCTGTTGCCTATCCCCTCCTGTAGGCAATATGTAGGCTTCAGGTGTGAATTAGGCAAATAAATTGTTAGTTCTTCAACTTAACCTAGCCTACATTATCTAATTGCCTACCCCATAGAAGAAGATAGTTATTTTCTATTGTACTTAATCTATTTTTTTAAATTTAAAAGTGATTATGTTTATTGTAACCATTCCTATACAGAGGAATATTTTTTAAGGTGGCTTGGTCAAATACAATTTATCCTATATATATCTTGTTTGTACATAGTAGTTTGTATGTTGCCTCTCCCATTAGATTGTATATTCTTTTTTTAAATATAAATTTATTTATTTCTAGTTTTCAACATTTACTTACACAAGATTTTGAGTTCCAAATTTTCACCCCATCTCGCCCCTCCCCCACCCCAAGATGGCATGCACTCTGAATACCCCTTCGTCTAATCTGCCCTGTCTTCTCTCTCTCCCCCCCTTCTCTTATCCCCTTCCTCTTCTATTTTCCTGTAGGGCAGGATAGATTTCTGTACCCCATTTCCTGTATTTCTTATTTCCCAGTTGCATGTGTTTTTTTTTAAACATGTGTTTTTAAAACTTTGGGTTCCAAATTTTCTCCCTTCCTCCCTCCCCACCCACCCTCATTGAAAAGGCAAGCAACTCAATACAGGTTATATATGTGCAGTTACACAAAATGCTCCCATGGTAGACATGTTGTGAAAAACTAACTCTATTTCCCTTAATCCTATCCTGCCCCCTCATTTATTCTATTCTTTCTTTTGTCCCTGTCCCTTCTCAGAAGTATTTGCTTCTGATTAGCCCCTTTCCCAATCTGCACTCCTCTCTATCATCCCTCTGCTCTCTTGTTCCTTTCTCCCCCTATTTTTCTATGGAGTAAGACAGATTTCCATACCCAGCTGAGTGTATATGTTATTCCCTCCTTGAGCCAAATCCTATGAGAATAAGATTCACTCATTCCCTTTCACATTCCCCCGTTTCCCCTCCACTGGGCTTTTTGTTTTCTTTTTTTTTTTGTTTTGTGAGTTGTATATTCTTAAGACAGGGATTTTTCATTTGTTTGTTTTTGGTTTTGCCATTTGTGTGTGTGTGTGTTAATTAGATGCTAAGCTTTTGTTTCTATACTACTGATGGAGTGCTGTCAAAAACAAGTGATCACACCTATAAGATTGGCCAACATGATAAAACATGAAAATTATAAATGTTGGAGATGTGGGAAAATTAGAACACTAATGCATTCTTGGTGGAGTTGTGAAATGACCCAACCATTTTGGTATTGTACTTAATCTAATAGAGTGAGGTTCACCAGCTAGGTTTTTACAGACTGGCTCCCACACAATGACAATCAATATAGTAATTAGTAGTGTGCATGGTATTGGAGACTGGCCTAGATTATCTCTAAGATCCTTTCCTTCTAAAATTTTGCCTTCCTGTAGCTTCTACTGAACAGGGTATACTTCTCTTTGGAATCCTGGGTTGCATTCATACTTCAACTGCCAACTAGTCTAGTGTTTGCCATCTTTTTTTTTTTTCTATCTGTGACACGTCCAAGAACTTGCCTACATGCAGAAGGATGAAGAGGTCTTCCTGCCATCTTCTAACTCATACTCATCACCCTCTATTTTGCATTCCTATTGCCACATTATGTATATAATAATAAAAAATGATATATATATTTATATTATTATATATTAATGATAATAAATTATAAAATCAACAATATTAATACAACAATGATATAATATACAAATAGATAAATGATATATTTATTATATGATAATATCACAATATAATATATTATTATATATTATATAACTTATATTTTAATATATTATCATATATTATTATAAAATGTAATTATCTATTTATATAATAATAAATAAAAAATAAACATCCCCCCAAGTAATTCTCCCTTTATTCTCTACCTTACTTTTAAACTGAAGAATGTCAAGATAAGGAAGCTCATTGACTTCTTCATAGTACCAAATGTGATGAGGCACTAACTTGGTTGAGAAAGAACTGAAGGATTGTGGGGAGTTCTGCTTTCTGTATTTTTCTCCAAAAATGTACTGATCTTTCCCTCCCATCAAATTAGAGTAGTTTGGCTTTGCCATGCAAAAAGTTACTTAGTTGGATGTTAATTACTCTGTCAGTCAATTCATCAAAACTATTAAGTCAAGCTTTTATTCTGCATTCTGTGCATATTGGATGAGGAGAGAGGGGGATAACATGAAAGACATAGATGGTACTGTTCTTGCCTAAATCCAGTTGGGGAAATGGGATGCACACACACACACACACACACACACACACACACACACACACAGAGGCAGGCCATGCACATCCATAAATACTACCCTTGGAATAACTCATAATGATAAATCCTATTATGATCTGACAAAAATGGCAGATTAGTTCAATTTAAATTTAAAAAAAAAGATTTCTAAGCCCTAGTTATAGGTCAGCTTGTTTCAAACAATATTTGCCACAATCAAATTCTAATACAATAAAGGAACAGCAGATGATCTCATTGAATTTGTTGCAATGGGATTTGATCTGTGTACTTCAATAGATGGAAAGCCTGGCACTAAGCCCAGGGTAATTATTCACTATGAACCATTTGAAGATGGGAGTATTTTGCAGAATTCAGAAAGCAAGTAGCAGCCCAATGAATTTATAAGGAGGTAGTAAATAATGAATGAAATTTTGATCAACCTCTGCTGTCCTGTTCCTTTTTTCTTCTCCTCTCCTTCAACTCACTTCTCTTTTGGTTCTTGTCTGTCTGGTTCCTCTTAACTTCTTCAGGGGAGAATCTGGGATTCTGGGAAGCTTGTGAAGATTTGAAGTATGGAGATCAGTCCAAGGTCAAAGAGAAGGCCCAGGAAATTTACAAGTGAGCATTGGAAAGATTGATGTTTTGTGAAAATCTTCCCTCAGCCTCTTCTTCTACCACCCTGTGCATTACCATCCTTTTGTGAATAGCTGAGCAAATCTGAGTTGTGTGAAGTTGTATTGCTTACAAATTAGTTATGGTCGCATGTATTGGCAAGAAACCATGGAGACCATGCTTTCCCTGACTCGGGAAAATTTGTAATGTCTTTGGACTCCTTGTCTATCTAAAGCCAACCAGTCAGGAGTACACAATGGAAGACCAGAAATCAAAAGCTCATCTCCCCAGTTGTGTTTGTGTTTGTGTCAGTAAAGAAGAGTGTGTGTTTGTGGTATGTATGCATGAGTGCTGGGCTTTGCATATTTCTCTTATCAGTTAAGGTGAGATTTGACCCTGGTAATTCAAACGTTTCAACCCTTCTTGGGATATATTTTTTCTGGGGCTTCTCTGAAGATAATCTAAGAGGTCTCTGTAACTTCTTCCTCAATAAGAAAATATTTAAGACCAGTAAAGATGACAGATTAGTTTTTTTCTCTATACCACTTCAGCTCTACAACTCCCCAGAAAAAGGAACTTATTTTTTAGCCTTCTTAGCATTCTCTTGACCACATATTTTATTTTTATTTTTTTAAAAAATATATTTTTTTTAGTTTTCAACATTCACTTTTATAAGATTTTGAGTTCTAAATTTTCCCCTCTTTCTTCCCCTGCCCCAAGATGACACACAATCTGATATAGGCTATACATGTACAATCATATCAAACATATTTCTACATTAGTCATATTGTGAAAGAAGAATCAGAGCAAAAGGGAAAAACCATGAGAAAGAAAAAAAAAGAGAGAAAATAGTATGCTTTGATCTGCATTCAGATTCCATAGTTGTTGTTTTTTTTCTAGATGTGGATAGCATTTTCTATCATGAGTCTTTTGGAATTGTCTTAGATCATTGCATTGCTCAGAAGAACTAAGTCAGTCATTGTACAACATTGCTGTTACTGTGTACAATGTTCTCTTGGTTCTGCTCACTTCACTCAGCATCAGTTCATGCAAATCCTTCCAGGTTTTTCTGAAATCTGCCTGCCCACCATTTCTTATGGAACAATAGTATTCCATTACATTCATATATCACAACTTGTTCAGCCATTCCCCAATTGATGGACATCCCTCAAAAGACCTGCTATAAGTATTTTTTATACATGTAGGTCCTTTTCTCTTTTTTATGATCTCTTTGAAATACAGACCTAGTAGTGGTATTGCTGGATCAAAGGGTATGCACAATTTGGTTGACCTTTGGGCATAGTTCCAAATTGCTTTTCAGAATGGTTGGATCAATTCACGACTCCACCAACAATGCATTAGTGTTCTAATTTCCCCACATCTTCTCCAACATTCATCATTTTCCTGTTTTGTCATGTTAGCCAATCTGATAGGTGTGATGTGGTACCTCAGAATTGTTTTAATTTGCATTTCCCCAATCAATAGTGATTTAGAGCATTTTTCCAGATGATTATATATAGCTTTTATTTCTTCATCTAAAAACTGCCTGTCCATATCCTTTGACCATTTATCAATTGGGGAATAACTTGTATTCTTATAAATTTGACTCAATTCTCTACATATTTTAGAAATGAGGCCTTTATCAGAGACACTGGCTGTAAAAATTGTTTCCCAGTTTTCTGCCAGAAAAAGGAACTTCGCACCATATTAGATTAATCACAACTACATCAACTGGAGAAAGAAGACACCCTAACCCCATGTGGCAACATCATTATGGATCAACACCAAAGGACTCTAATCCTTAAAATACTCACTTAGTACCCTTCCCCAATCAACTTCCAAGTGGCAGGAGCATAAATTAACTAACAAGATTTTTCAAAGCCCACCTACCAATAAAGATACTTTACTCTTGTTCCGTAGTGCCCCACTCACTGCACCCTGTCCTCAAGATGGAAAGGGGATGGAAGCTGTGCTGGGGACAGTCCTGTTGCTGAAGAGGCTATTGAGAGTAGGGACCCAGACCAAGAGAGACTCATGTCCCCCAATTCAAGGAGGCTGAAATGCCTTAAAGCTTAGCTTAACAAATAGAATACAAAGGAAAGTTAACAAATGTTCTATGAAATAAAAACTCCTGAGTTCTTCAAGGAGAGAACAGAACAACAAGAAGAAACTCTACAGTAAAAAGACAAAATGAAACCCATAGAAGAAATTAGGAAGGAACACAGGTCAGAACCTAGATCTCTACATGCAGAATTCAAATACTCAATTAGAAGAATTTAAAAAAATTTAATTTATGATGAAAGATCTCTTAAAATAAGTGGGAAAATAAATGAACAGATTTAGAACATGAAAATACTTAAATGGAGTAAAATGTGATAGAAGAAAAACAAAATGCAATAATATTGAGAATTTATGAATTCCACATAAGACAAAGAGACTGACCTTGAAATCAAGTTATGCAGGGATAACTTAAGGTTCATAGGTTTCTAAGAAGAGCATGACCAAAAAAAAATCTGAATGCCACAATGCAGGACATAATACCAGAAAACTGCTCAAAACTTCTAAATGTAGACCACCATGCATCAGTTGAGGGAATCCATGGATTATACACACACACACACACACACACACACACAAAACCTGTGCTTCAAACTGGAAGGCGAAATTGGCTAAATTGAACAATTTAAATGAAAGCAATAAACTTTTCCAGCATCTGGGAGAAAGACTTTAAAATATGAAGGAAAGGAAATTTGATTATTCTGTAGCCATGAGAAATTGGAGAAGTGAATGAAAAAGCAACTGAAAATGATATTCCCTGAGAAGGTGAGTGTAATCATCAATGAAAAAAAAGATGGTTATTCAACAAAAGACAGGCAGTCCTTAAAAAAAATCAGATAGGAGGAGAATATTCTACTTGCAAACATCATCCCAAACAACATAAAATAATAAAAACAAGTAAGTACAACTATAAAGTATAATTATTACTTATCCACTAATTAGTAGTGAAATCAATTATCCCATATTTAGAGGGTTTTTTAAAGTGAGAGAGAAATATTGATCTAATAGGTTAAAAAAAACCCAGAACTCCAAGAGGCATAAGAAACAAAGGAATAAAAATATAAGAAGATAAAGAGATAGAAGTGAAAGTGCAAGAGCTGAACTGAACTGCCATTGACTAACCTCCTGAACTCGGACAGACGACTCTCAATGCTTTTTTGTGGGATGGAAGCTTAGAATGGAAAACCCAACAGAATGAGAGAGAGAAGGCAAGAGACAGAAGGGATGGGTGTCATACTCCTACCAAATGCATGAGTGAACAGCAGAGGGATAGTGAACCCTAGAGTATCTTGGCAAGTGGGGGGTTGCAACAGGAGAATGGGCAAGGCAGTAGGAGGATTGAATCTGGGGCACTGGGAGATATTTCACTTCAGTTGGAGGGGGAAGGGTCCTGCTGAAGAGCACTCCCTTAGAATAGGATCTGTGTGCCTGTGATGAGAGATGGGGCTCTCAGGATGAACTTAGTCTAAAATAGGAGTGGGGAACTTGTGGCCCTGTAGGTCCTCAAGTGTGGCCCTTTGACTGAATCCAAATTTCACAGAACAGATCAATTCTATAAAATTAAAATGTCCAAGCCTCCAAAGAGGAATTTGTGAGAAATTTATCTTGCCCTAATTTTTGACAGAAATGGGGGACTACAGGTATGAAATATATAACCAGGCTTTTTTTTTTGATGTATTCATTAGTTTTGTTGGACTATTTCCCCCTCTTCCCCACCCCTCTTTTCTATTCTTTGTTATAAAGGGTGGTTCTCTGGGAGACATTGAGGGAGGGACATATTGGAGGCTGATATAAAAGCAAAAGGGATCAATAGAATTATATTGAAAATATGTTTATATATTCTTATGTCATGTTATAAAAGAAAACATAGACTAAAAAAAGTAAGAAAAATAAAGTTTTTTTAAAAGTATGCTTTGATCTGCATTCAGACTCCATTAATTTAAAAGAATATATTTGGAAATTGAAAACCACAGCTCTTCTGGTCATTAATCTGGCAGTTTATTTTTGTCCTAGGTTAGGGCCAACAGCGGGTCTATTGAGAAATAAAAATGGGGGATGAGTGGGGTGAGGGTGCCATGTTTATGAACAAATTTATTGTCCAAGCAAACTCTGAGGTGTTTGGAGATTCATGAAAAGAAGAATGTTTCTGGGACAGTCATTAGAACAGGGGTGGGGAAGTCATTTGGGGAAAAGGAAACAGACTCTTGTGAAATGTGTTTTGAATTTCATTGGTGGGAATTTCCTGTCTGAATTTCTAACCAGCCAACTAGCAAACATTTTTTAAGCTTAGTATCAGAAAGAGTGCTAGATGTTGAAGATACAAAGATAAAAGCAGTAGTCCCTGCCATAAAGGTGCTTATAGTCTGATGGAGGGACAACGTGAATAGAAGCCACTACTAGCTCTAAATCTATGATTCTGTTATGAGCTTAAGTAATCCATATACATCACACACGATGTATATATGTATATGTATATGTATATGTATATGTATATGTATATGTATATGTATATGTATATGTATATGTATATGTATATGTATATGTATATGTATATGTATATGTATATGTATATGTATATGTATATGTATATGTGTGTGTGTGTATGTCTGTCTGTCTGTCTGTGTATAGGGCAGGGAGGCCCTTGCAGTTTGGAGGAACAAGAAAGTCTTTCTGGATAATGTGGTTATTGAGCTAAGTTTTGAAGGAAACCAGGTAATGGGAAGAGAATGGTGATGCGGGACCTGTGTTTCACGAGATTTTATGCTGAGCTTTTAGGCTTTGGTGATTGTAAGACTAGTTCAGCTCAGATTTGTTTAGGACCCTCACTAAACAGAAATCTAGAGTATGGCAAAGAGAGTGGTGATCAAGCTTGATACCTATTATGGTCTCCTTGGTCTTGTTTCTGTCTGGTGCTACAGATTCAGTAGATGAAGGCTCCATCTTGGCCCAAACCTCTCTGGCTCAGAAGGTTTAATAATTCTTGTTAATAATTTCCTATTAACCCCCCTAGGCTTTTTCTGGCTCCAGGAGCAAGGCGGTGGATTAATATAGATGGCAAAACCATGGACATCACAGTCAAAGGGCTGAAACACCCTCATCGCTATGTTCTTGATGCTGCTCAAACTCACATCTATATGCTCATGAAAAAGGTTTGTTAGTTCTTCCTTCCTTCTCTTTCTTTCTTTCTTTCTTTCTTTCTTTCTTTCTTTCTTTCTTTCTTTCTTTCTTTCTTTCTTTCTCTTTCTTTCTTTCTTTCTTTCTCTTTCTTTCTTTCTTTCTTTCTTTCTTTCTTTCTTTCTTTCTTTCTTTTTCTTTCTTTCTTTCTTTCTCTTTCTTTCTTTCTTTCTTTCTTTCTTCCTTCCTTCCTTCCTTCTTCCTTCCTTCCTTCCTTCCTTCCTAATTAACTTAGACTTAGAGGGAATGGAAGAAGAGCACATAAACACTCATAATAATAATTTATGTTAATTGTCCTGGTAGCTATTCCCTGAATTCAACATTCTATCTCTTGACTCCATGCCTTTGTACAGGCTGTTCTCCATATCTTGAATGTATTCCCTCTTCATCTCCACGTCTTAGACATCTTAGTTTCCTTTAAGGCTGAGTTAGGTGCCACCCCTCAAAATAAAAGAAGGTAAGCCTTTCCTTATCTCTACAATTGTCAGTATTCTCTCCCTCATGAAATTGTCTTGTATTTATAGTATTTATCTTGTGAGGACCATGTCGTGTAGTGTTAAGAGTGCTGGATGTGGAATCAGAGGATCTGGGTTCATGTCCTGATTCTGCCACACAGGTGTGTGATGTTAGGCAAATCTCATACCTTACCTGGACTTCAGTTTCCTCATCTTTAAAATGAAGGAGTCACTTGATAACCTGAAAGTTCCCTTCTTATTCCAAACCTATCATTTTATGATCCTATATTGTACCCCACAGTGGATATGCTCCTTGAGGGTGGGAAATATTTGTTCTTTAAAAAAAATCTTTGTATTTTCACAGTCTAGCATATGTCTTGCATGTAGTTGGTGCTTAATAAATGCTTATTATATTACATTTTTTTAAAAAAGTGTCTACAAAGGACCCCAGTCCTTTCTAAAAAAAGCTGGGGAATTAGTGATTTTGAAAAAGAAAAGGAAGTTTTGCTTGACTAGCAGTCTGATTTTGTTTGAGGCAGATACTATACAAATAATTCCTCAACCCCTGAACTAGGGCCTCCTATATTGAAACTGTTTAGGGCCAAAAGAGATGTCCTTTTGGAAACTACTCTTTCAGCCTGATAAGGTACAATTCAACTCAATAAGTATTTAAGTGCCTTCTATAGTTGCCAGCCCCTTGTTAGGCACTGGGCATACAAAGACCAGAAAAACAAAAGCTTACTATATCATAATCTAGTATATCTATGCATCCTTGCTGTTTTCCTTAGAGAGGTGGAGGACTATGGATGTAGAATATTGCATATGCAGTCAGTTGTCATCCCTATGTCAGTCAGTTAGTTGACTTAACTATTTTTATTTGTTAAAAGGGAAGATGGCTTGGGAAACATGGCAGTGGTTTTAGTAGTAGTCTAACCAGAAATGACTGTAATGTAAAATTAAAAAGCATGAATAAAATGTCAGCCCCCAAAAAGTAGGTGTACCTTATTTCAAGAAAATTCTATATATTAAAAGAGGAACTTATAATCATAAATTTGAACAAGTTAAATAAAATTTCACTAATTTGGACCACCCACACTCAATTTGATACTTTTAGTGGTTTACTTGATCTTGATTAATTGCTTATTTTCTAAAGCAGTTTATAAATTGTTTTCCTTATACCACCTTTGGAAAATTAGTATTTTTTAATAATGACTTTGAGTGAATAAGTTATTTTGACTATTATGAATACTCAAATTAACTGTAAAGGACATAAGAAGAAAGATGCTATCTGTATGCAGAGAAAGAACTGCTAAATAGACATATGTATAGAATAATTTTACATATAGAAGGGATTTAACTCAGTTTCCTCAATTACAAAATGAGGTGCTAGATAACCTTGAAGGTCCCTTTAATCTCTTAATCTGTAATTGATGATTTTAGAGATTATTTAGTCCAGGGGTTCCTAATCTGGGGTTCATAGACTCCCAAGGGATCTGTGGATAGATTTCAGGATGTGAAGAAAAATTACATCTTATTTTCATTAACCTTTAACTGAAATTTAACTTTTCCTTCAATTATGAATACTGGCAACAGACATTATTCTAAGAAGGGGTTCATAGAACTGGCACTTGATCCCATGTTTTTTTTTTATTCTGATTCCAGTACTCTTTCTACTACACCAGATTTTTTTCTTTTCTTGTGAATAAAGCAAGAAATTTCTTTTTATATGAATTTTCAGTTATAAGCAAGAGGAACTTGATGTAAAATCAGTTACTTCTTCAAGTCAAGGACTCAAGAAATCAATTCCTTCCATATGCATTTAATTTCCCGTCTCAGCAATGAATTATTTTAAATTAAAGGCTGAAATTAAAAAAAAATCATTAGTATATTACACAGTTTAGGTTGCTGTAGCTGGCAAAATTACTAACTCATCTCATTTTGCTTATTTGCACTATTTATATTTTAGTCTGATGACATATATTTTGCTTGAAGATAATGTAAAACCCATGATTCAGAGTCCTGTCCATTAAGGAGGTCTGGCTTTGGGCTCATGTGAACTGGATTCAGTCTGGGGGTGATCCCTTACTAAAAGAAGGCATCAGGCTTTTCTCAAACTTTGTTGTTCATTTTACCCACACCCTGGATCCCCAGTGCAAATTAGTTAAATAGAACATAAGCATGGCTTGTGCCTAGGATCTCCCCTGAGAGGATTAACTTGGTCTCTTCTGGAAATATTCTTAACATACAAAGTCGATCAGGTATAGCACAGAGATTTATTTCCTCTACCACAAAAGAAATGCCCAAAATATAAAAAAAACCCTCACAAACATATTGACACCTAAACATGATATAATAACACATTACATTTTATACTCTCCAAAGGAGATTGATAATAATAATGTGAAACACTTTAAAAAACTGTTAAACAGACATTTCACTTTGACCTGGCATCTTCAGTGTCCATACAACCCTCTGAAGGTCTATATCTTTTGGTCAACTGTAAGGTTTATTCTGTCACTGGTTATCTTCTCTGAAAAGTACTATACTAGCAGCAAACTCCTTTTGCTGTGTAATCAGCACCTGGACCCAGGAGCTTCTGACCTCTTGAACTCATGAGATTGTCATCAAGGCTAGAAATATCCATCTCAGGAGAGGAAATCAGAGACTTTGTTCAAAGTCCAGTCTCAGGCTTGTCTAGAGCAGATCAGTACCTTTCCTCACTATTATTTGCAAGCATTTGCCATTGCTGCAAGGGTGGGGAAAAGAAAAAAACATAGCTCTTTCCCAGACTGGATGTCTGAGGGAGAGCTTGAAGAGTTCTGAAATGCTTGACAGAGAGTTATGGAAACAGAAAAAGAAAAAAACAGAGAGATAGAGACAGAGAGAGAGAGAGAGAGAGAGAGAGAGAGAGAGAGAGAGAGAGAGAGAGAGAGAGAAGGAGGAGAAGAAGAAGAGGAAGAAGAGGAAGAAGAAGAAGAAGAGGAAGAAGAAGAAGAAGAGGAAGAAGAAGAAGAAGAAGAAGAAGAGGAAGAAGAAGAAAGAGACAGAGAGAAAGAGAAAGGGGGCACAGTCACTTCTCTCAAAGTCTACTGAGTTCACAATTCTTCCCATTTCAGTTTCTTCCCATTTCAATTTCTTCCCCATTCCTCATCCCCTTATTGGGGGACCATGGGACTAATAAAGGATTGCTGAGTAATTTCCAAGTACCAAGTCATTCTGTGCTGAGAAAGGGGAGTATTTCATAAGAAATGGCCCAGGTACAGGCTCAGTTCCAAGCATACTTCATGGAATGTCCCCCAAAAGTCCATCTCTGCACATGCTCTAATAATAATATGCTCCAATCCAACCCCTTGCTATAATAACAAAATTTAATTCCTCTAAAACATTCAATCAAGTTTTCACTGAATGAGACTGGTTTTTCTCCTATCCCATTAAAAAAATTAGGGAAATTTAAATGGGTTCACCTTACAGAGGATTTACTGCAGGATTTCTTTAAATAGTAACTATCTCTAGTATATTAAAAATATTATTTGGTTCATGAAAAATTCCATCTGCACACAAGTTTTCGGCTAAAGTGAGTAATACCTTCAATATTAGTGACCAGAATCAGTTTGGCTTACAATTAAGGATTCACAAAGTATAACCAAGAAATATCTTTTTAATGTGCAGACGCTTTCAACTCTTTTCCTAAGGCAAATCCCATGTCAGCATGGTCAGAGGAAGAAAAACTAAGGCTTTGCCTCCAGGGCATTGAAATTTAGAGCCTTGACAGCACTTACACTCTTTCAGCAACATAGAATGGACTGAGTTTAGCATCTAATTAATAAGAATAATCAGCGTTTACCAGATGGCCCACTTTCCCCTGGTACCTGCTATCCCTTGCCTACCTTCACCCCCCTTCTCCAATGGCTGTGTCTCAGTTGAGCTCTTTCTCAATAGACAGCTAGGTGGCCAAGAAGTGGTGGACTTGCAGTCAGGAATACTTGAGTTTGAATCCTGCTTCAGACACTTCCTAGCTGTATGACCCTGCGCAAGTCACTTAACTTGCTGTTTGCCTCAGTTTCCTTAGGGGACGTTTCATCTAATTCAACCCCCTCATTTTACATATAAGGAAACTGAGGCTCAGAGTGGTTAAGTGATTTCCCAAGATTACATAGATAGTAAGCATTAGAGGTGGGATTTGAACCAGTCTCTGATACTTACTTCCTATGTGACTTTTCAAATACCTTTCATGTTTATCATGCAGTAATTAGCACAACCCTATTTCGGTTCCATAAATCATGTGAACTGGCCTTTGGAATTTGTTGTGTGAGATTTGATCCTTATTGTGAAGGCAGTACTGTATAATATAGTATAGGATCTATATTGCAAGGGTGGGAAAGTCACAGGATTTGGGTTAGAATCCTGACTTTGCTACTTATTATTATTTATGTTAACTTGGTCAAATCACCTAGCCTCCCTATCCTCAGAGAGAGAGAGAGTTAGATTAGGTTACCTCTGATGTACCTTCTCACTCTTAATTTATAGAATCCTATAAAATCTTTATGATTTGTTATTATGATTTGTTTTATTATAAAGTCTCAGACCTTGAACATTAAGCTTCAGTGGTCTGAATCTTCCCTGAAGCTCTGAGAAACATTCACGGAAATGGAACTTGGTAATTGTTCCTTGTTTTTTCTCCCATAACCTGAACCTGAAAGGTAAGGAGGACCTTTTGTTAAAAGACTTAGAAGACTGTGTTTAGGGCTCATTTCTAGCAATTTCCTTCCTAGGGGATGCATTATGTAGAGAAGACTATCTGTAGGGGTCCGTCTTGTGACAAAATCTCTTTGAGGGAGGACTACCTCCTGGTTTGTAGTACCTAGACTTATACATCATATGTGGAAGAGAACAATTCTTTAGCTTTGTTATTTTATGCCTTGCAATAGCTGGAAAATCACAATCCCTTTCCTTTTGATTTGACCCACTCTTTCCCATAATTATTCTTTTCCTTTTACTCCTACCAGGATTCTTATGCTCGATACTTAAAGTCTCCAATCTACAAGGAAATGCTGGCTAAAGCCATTGAACCTCAGGAGACATCCAGGAGAAGGCAAGTGGAATTGCCCTAACTGGTGGTTGTAAGCAACCAACTTTTTGTTGTATAAAGGCACAAAGGAGGAAAAGAGAGTATCTCTTTCCATCAAATGATAGGGTACTGAGATATTTGCGGGTTTCCAGGAGACCAATACTTTGTAACTCATGCTACCATTAATGTTTTCCTGAGCAACCACTTCCAGTAAGTTTCTCTCCCTGAAATTATTTTAGAAGAATTTGGTTATATTTTGACCTCAAAATTTTCATAGCACGAATAATAGCATCTCATTGGATTTAAATCAATATTCCTTCTTTCTCCTAACAATTGGCAGATTGCTTAGGAATTAATAGGTCTTTACTTTTCAATATTGTTCTTTCATGTCCTTCTTTGGCTAATTCTTTAGTTCTTCTTTAGAATAACGTATGGGAGATATTTTGAACTATTTAATAACACATGGGAAATATTTTGAACTCTTTGGAATTGGGACTGTAGAAACCAAAAGCTTTATTAATATTGTAAGTAGTAGCTGAATTACTTTAAACAAAGCAGATTCAGGGTTTTGGAACAGCCACCAACTCTCCCACCCCTGCCAACACAATTCTTTTGAACACTGGCAAATACATTTTCATTTACAGGTCATTGGTTCATCTCATGACAACCTCTCCACTAGCCTGTATCTTCAGGCAATCCAAAGAGGGAGGAAAGAGATCAGAGCCATACATCAAAGGAGTCTCAAAAACAAAAACAAAAACAAACTTGATTTCATTGTTAGGGATAATGGGCCTGTAATAAAAAGAGGAAGAAGGAAGTCTTTGTGTGACTCCTATGGCTAGGAGCATCTATAGGACAGGAAAGCCTCTTCCTTGGGCAGCGAGAAAGGACTTTGATAGTTTTACACACCCTGCCAATAAAATAGGAGGAAGGGACTTAGTACCTTCAGATCACTTATGACTTGGTGCCTGCGTGACGGAGCTGTTGAGATCTTTGGCAAAGAACATTGGTTTTATGACCATTCGTGTCTTGGATGATTTTTGTATGGAGGGCAGTATCAGATTGGTGGGAAGAATTAAGGAGTAAGTGCTAAGAATCAGGGAAGTACCTCCAAAGCCCTGATTGATCAGAATTTAGTAAGTGCTGGCTACTCTCTTCAATACAATTCTGCAAATGCTTATTATGTGGTTACTATGTGCCAGGCAGGAGAGATGCAAAGATGAAACCATCCTTGCCCTCAAGGAATTTACATTCTACTGGGAGTTACAGTAAATCCACAGACAAGTATAGTACAGTTTAGAGTTTTATGGGACAGAAAGAACAGTTCTGAGAAGCTGCTGTTAGAAAGTGTGAGGAGACAGGGCAGGTAGGTGGTGTAGTGGATAGAGCACCGGTCCTGGATTCAGGAGGACCTGAGTTCAAATTTGGCCTCAGACACATAACATTTACAGCTGTGCAACCCTGAGCAAATCACTTAACCCCATTGCCTAGCCAAAAAAAAAAAGTGTGAGGAGGGAGGGAAGGAAAAAGACAGAAAGAGGGAAGGAGAAAGAGAAGGTGGGAAAGGAGGAAGTTGAAAGAGAGAGAGAGGGAGACACACCTACTTTCTTTCAGTTAGGGAAACTGTGGGGACATATTAATGTCATAAGATGCACATAACATGATGGTGACAGTACCTGTCACTGCATTTAGCAGGGAGCTCCAGCTCTTCCCAATTCATCTATTCATTCTTCCTCTTCCTCCTCCCTCTCAAGTTTTGTGCCTGCCTGTAGCATGAGGGGGCATTTAGTCAGAAAAGGATATTTATTCCTAGGGTGCCTGGGTATAGTACTTCATCAGAGCTCTAGCTGCCATTCCCTGATGGGAGGGCAAGGCGTGAATTTTGCCAAGTAATTAAGCTTCACAGGGTGCAGAGCAGTAATGAGAGTGGAATGACCAGGGCTTTTCCCTAGGGTGCCAAATTAGGGGGCACCATATTGCAAGGGCACTTATTACAATGCTTCAGTGCACTGAGGTGCCTGGCACCCCTAGTTCCTAGGGCAGCTTCTTTAGCAGTGACCTTAAGCCAGTATCCCAGGATTTCTATTTCCCTACCACAGGGCAGTGCTTTCCTTACTTCTCAGCTGAGGGAACTTTTTGTTTATGTGTGTGCATCTCATGTGTACTGCTCACTCCAAGAGCAAAAATTCCTAGTTATAGCTCTGACTTGGAACTGGAGTTCCTCGTCATGTTGGCAGTGACTCTGGAGACAGATTCTAGATGGGAAGCCCAGGTCACAGCCCAGCTGGAAATTGTTTAGGCTCCCTACTACTGCTTATTACATAAAGCAGAGTTAGCATGATTTTTTCAGCATAGAGTACTATACAACATGAGATTCTAAGAGGGAAAGGCATAGCCCCGACCTTTCAACAAGTCTCTTTGCTGACTGAACTCATACTGAGGATGTCACATGTTCACATTGTCAGGTTTCCATTTAATCCTACTCCATAACTATTCCTTTTTAACAGATCACGAGATAAAAGGAACCCATAACTATTCCTTTTCAAAAAGACTACTATAAAAAAAGGAGGCTTGGCAAATAACTTCAGTGTAAAGAATTCTTCCTAAAGTCTAACTTAAGGCATCCACATTTTATCTACTTCCCAATAATAGGTGACATTTACATAGTTTTAGGGTTTATATAGAGATTTACTCACAACAACCCTATAAGGTAGGTAGTAAAGATATTATTTTGATTTTTATAGGTGAAGAAATTGGAAGGTTAAATGATTTGTCAGAAATCAAATTAGTACTGTGATGCAAACTTAATCTCCAGCTCCTAGTCTAGCCCTCTTTCTCTACCTTTAGTTTTCCAAGAAAATTGGTTGATTAACAAAAATTATTCATTATTACATGGCAGATAACTGAGTCCTATCATCTGAATATGTTTGACTGAGTTATGGCTGGCTAGTCCTTGGATTTGGCCTTTAAAAGAAAACAGACCCAGAATTGGGGGGTGGGCACAGCACCAAGCTAAAAGGCATAGACAGGAGAGTACATAGACAGAGAAGACTTGGATCCCTGGGGATGGGAAGCCTCTTTATCTGATTGGTCAATTAACAAAAATTATTCATAGTTTATTATATGTCAGACACTGTGATGAGTTTTGTAGAAACACAGTAAAAAGTGAGACAGTCCTTGCCCTCAGGGAGCTTATATTCTATTGGGGGATATAAAATGTCATAGATAAGTAAATACAAGAAATATATAAAATAAGTCCATAGTGATATGATGAGGGATGCTGATAGTGGAGAGAATCAAGAAAGGTCTTTTGAAGGAGATGACACTTAAACCAAGTCCTTTTTTTTGTTGTTGTTTTGTTTTTTGGTGAGGCAATCAGGGTTAAATGACTTGCCCAGGGTCATACAGCTAGTGAGTGTCATGTGCCTGAGATCAGATTTGAACTCACATCCTCCTGACTCCAAGGCCAGAGCAAGAATCTTATCCACTGAGCCACCTAGCTGCCCCTAAACCAAGTCTTGAACAGAGCCAGAGGTTCCAGGAGGCAAATGTGAGGAGAGGAGGGGAGAGGGGAAGAAAGAGAGTGAGAGAGACAGAAAGACAGAGAGAGACAGAGAGAGAGAAAGAGAGAGACAAAGGAAGGAAGCAAGGAAGAAAGAAAAAAAAAGGAAAGAAAGGATGTTATGTATAAGAAATAGCAGTTTGGCCAGTTTTGTGGAAGATGAAAGGCAATAATATGTCATTTCCTTGGAAAGATAGACCAGAGCCAGACTGAACGGTTTTAAACGCCAAATGGGGGAGTTTGCAGGCAATGGGGAGTCCCTAAAGTTTCTTAAGCAGGGAGTGTCATGCCATAGTCAGCCCTGCACCTAAGGAGTATCACTTGGGAAGCTGTGTGAAGGATAGTTTGTAGAAGGGATTGGCTGGTTAGGACCAGTTAGGAGGCAAATGGAACTAGTTGACAGCCTGAAGTAGAAGTAGGGTGGTTGTGTTGGGTGGTAAACAGAGGAGTTATGATTGGAATGGAAGCCACTAGGAGGATGAGCTGAACAAATCCAGATGTCTTTTCCCCTCTCCTTAGCATCTTTGCTGGGCAATCAGTGTGCTTTCTTCCATGCCTCACTCTAATAATTCTGCACCCTGTCTCTCTCATTGTCTTTTATTTTCAGTAGCAGTCTCCCATTCAGGAGGCGTCATCTCCGGTCCAGCCCAAGCCCTGTCATCCTTCGGCAGCTGGAGGAAGAGGCCAAAGCTCGAGAAGCAGCCAACACGGTGGACATCACCCAGGTCATGAGCAAACTGGATCGGAGGAGCCAACTCAAAAAGGAAATTCCTCCTAAATAAACTAATAGGTCCTGGCAGGGCAGAGGAAGAGGCGGGGGAAAAGGGTCTTCAAAGGGGCAGGGAAACTAAAGAAAGTAACTGAACTGAAATCCAGGGCACACATTATTCCATTTCCCATCCTCAGTGGGCTCTCTTCCTTCCCAGGTCCTTCCTCTCCCATTGGCTGAGGACCACCACTAGTATCACTAGGGCAACCAAAGCTAATTTCCCCATCCTTATTTCATAAAGTAGAAGAAGTAGAGGATGAAAAGCTTGGAAATGGAGGAGACATCTGACTCACAATTACCATGTAACAGCTTTTGTTAAGTTCTGGAATGTAGGAAGTAAGAGAACTAGGATACTTTGAGTGGTATTTCAATTAGAGAACCATAGAAATGGAATCATCCCTTCTTTCAAGCTTAGCTATCTTAAGAACATTAGTTAAAAAGTAAAACTGAAATGTCCCTCACTCCTCCTATCATTTCACTTGATGCTCTGCTAGAATGAGATTATTAAAGTAGTTTAGGGGCAAGGGTGGGGGTAGTTGAGGGGTTCAGCAGTTGCTTTCTTTTTTGTCCCACTCACCCAGGGCTGTCTAACCCCTCCAGGTCTAGATGAGCCATTCTTTGTCCACACACTTTTTAATTCATTTCAACAAGCTTCTATTAAAGGTCTACCATGCACAAGGGAGAGAGGGAGGACGGGGATAGGCATTTATATTGCACCTGTTATGTGCCAGGCACAGTGCTAGGTACTTTACAAACATTATCTTATTTGAGCCTCACAACTACCCTGCAAAATTGGTGCTGTTGTTATCTTCATTTTATAGTTGAGAAAACTGAGGTAAACAGAGGTTAAGTGATTTGCCCAGAGTCACATAGCTAGGATGTGTCTGAGGCTGGATTTGAACTCAGGAACTAGACTCCAGGTCTAGTACTCTATCCACCATACACCTAGCTGCCTCAGTGCAAGGCACTATTCTAAATGCTGGGGTTACAAAGACAATTGCCCTCAAGGAATCTGCATTCTACTGGAAACATTCTTAGGGTCAAAATCAGCTGTAAGGGGTTATTGTTAGGTTGTCTCTAACACACAACAGCTTGTATAACGTGTCCACAGTTGTCAAGATTAAATTACTCCTCTCCCGCCCCCAATTCTTTTTGTATTTAGCAGCACTTTCTAGGCCAATGAATGAAGGCATATTTTTGCCTTCTTGCCCAAGAATAAGAGTTTCAGTAATTCTTATGATGGACCTTCCTCTAGGATAATAACATCTGCTGGGGACTTAGTCTAAACAACCAGAAGTGTGAAAAATGAAATGAATATGCACAATTAAGGAAACATCTTTATTATTTTTTTTACTTTATTTTTTTTTTTGGTGAGGCAATTGGGGTTGACATTCCCAGAGCACACAGCTAGTGAGTATTATGTGCCTGAGGTCATATTTGAACTCAGGTCCTCCTGACTCCAGGGCCAGTGCTCTATCCACTCTGTCATCAAGCTGCCCCTAAGGGAACATCTTTAAAGGCTTCTTGCTAATTGGCACTGGGCAGGGCTGTGTCACTATGGCTCTGCTGAATATTTGGGGGATGGACAACATGAAAAAAGTAGGCTGATGGAATGGATCCTCTAATTAGAGTTATTGATAATCCCAATAGCATTAGCCAAACCAGGATGTAGGTAATTCTATTTGATCTTTTCAGGCTCAACTATGATTTGATCCTTCTGGATTTTTCTCTGCTGTAGCTTCAGTGCATATGCTAATTGTTAGGTGAGAAAGGAGGGAAGCCCAACTTTTATGACTAGAAGGCTAATGTTAAGGGTGAGCTAATCATTTCTATAAGGACACTAAGAAGGCAAATTAAAGAGTTGAGGATGGGGGTCAACCTTTTTATATGTGTGTGGCCATTGGTGCTATGGGTCATTTGTGGTTTAGGAAAGGGGGGCTGCAGGAGAGGTGCTCAAATAAGAGCCACAGGTAGGAGAAAGAAAAACTCATTAGTAGGGATCAGCTTCATTTGAGGCTGTAACTTCCACATCTCGTTGCTTATTTACTGGGGGATTCTGAGGTAAGGGGGGTTAGGGACTTAAGTGGGGAGTCCACTTGCATTGCAGTCCTGGCAGCTGGACAGAATTGGAACCTAGGTCCTAGGTTGCTCCAAAGATGGGTTCAACTTTCTAAGCAAAGTTCTGTCTGAGGAAACTGAACGAAGCATTCTTAAGCTACTCATATGCTTTGCCTTCCATGTGGATTTGTGTCTAATCATTGTTGTCTTCTAACATCATCTCACCTTCTCTGTATCATGCTCACTCTTCTTTGCATCTCTTGTACAATAAAATTCAGCTCAGCCAAGAAACAAAGCCCTTTTCTGGTTTATATCACTGACTGTTTCCTATCCTTCCATCCTGCTGTTTTTATTGCCATGCATGTTTTTTTATACCACTGTCTTGTTTCTTCATGCTGCTGGAGAGAGAGTCTTGGTGTAAAGTGAAGGAAATCGGTCCCATAACATAAAATTGAATTGAGCTCAAAGCTAAGCATCACCAGTTACTCTGGCAGAAGAGGAAATAGGAAATTTACTTAGTTACAGCTCATAGCTAACTGGGCTAATAACCAATTGTCCAGAGGGAGAGACAGCTGAGGTCAGGTAAATGGAAAGGGTGGGCAGCTAGGTGGTTACAGTGGATAGTACATCTGGCCTAGAGTCAGAAAGACCTGAGTTCAAATCTGGCCTCAGACACTAGCTGTGTGACCCTGGATGAGTCACTTAACCCTATTTGCCTCAATTCCTCATCTGTAAAATAAGCTGGAGAAGGAAATGGCAAATTACTGAAGTATCTTTGCAAGAAAACCCCAAATGGGGCGACAAAGAGTCATACACAACTGAAATGAATGAAAGGGAGAGGTGGAAAGGAGTGATTATTTCTTTCATTAAACGTCCTATAGTCATCCTGGGAGGGGTAAGTGATTGAGTATGTGTGAGTGTGTGTGTGTGTGTGTGTGTGTGTGTGTGTGTGTGTGTGAGAGAGAGAGAGAGAGAGAGAGAGAGAGAGAGAGAGAGAGAGAGAGAGAGAGAGAGAGAGAGAGAGAGAGAGAGAGAGAGAGAGAGAGAGAGAGAGAGAGAAAGAAAGAAGGGGGAGGATTATTCAACTTCTAATCAAGGGATGAAGAGGAAAGAAGATAAGAATTTTAGATTTGGTGAGGAGAGGGGAGTGAGAAAAGCATTTTTTCTACTTTCATATATATATAGTAACCTGTATTGGCAAATGAATTATTGACAAATTGAGGTCCTTTTAGACTTGTTTCTAAACTAGTTTTAAGACTCTAAAAAAGTCTGCTTTCTCAAGTCAGAAAATAATCTACTTTAATCATCTTTGGTTTAATTTCCTTCTCAAATCTTTTTTTTTCTTCCACTGGCTCATACACAGGTAAACTTCAGCCTAGTGCCTGATAGGACAAATATGAATTCATATTAGAAGTCAAATTAAAAGGCAGTGTTGTTCTAACTCTAAATTTCAATGCAATTGAACTTTCTTTTATACCTTTGCACCATTTATACCACTTTCTCCCTCCTCTCCCCATCCCCATCTCCTATGTACCCTCCTTCCCCCTAAGGCAGAGCTGTAACTATCAATTTTGTTGCCCTGGACAACAAGCTCTAATAAATCACGATGTTGGAATAAGAGGTAATTAAGAATATTTTGATTCAATTTAATTCAACAAACAATACATTAAATATCTCCTGCGGTATACAGAAATGAAAAGGAAATAGTTCCTGTCCTGGAGGTGGGTGGGGAGATGTAATACATAAATAAATACAAAATAATGGGGTAGGGGTGGGAAAAGAGCCTTATTCAGTTGGGGAGGGTGACTTGCCACAGTGGTTCAGAGACTCACATTATTAAGTGGGGTGAGGGATTCTGTTAGCTTCCTAGTTTGACTAATTAGGGATTGCTCAGTAGGTATTAAACTCAGCTGTTTCTAAGGAGGAGCAGGGTGTATTATATTTTTGAACTTTCTAAATCTCAGGCAAAGCCCTCGAGAGAGGGGCCCTGGTCTTTTCTGCCCTAAGAGCTTCTTTTCTCTTTTTTCAGAAAACCTTGGTCTGAACTGTGCAAAAGTGTTATCTAATAAGAGATTAAAGTGTATGTAACCCTTTTTCAGGTATTTGCTTTTTTAACAGGGGACACTTTCCCTTAAGCTCAAGAGAGACAATCCCCTATAGGCCTTGCTAATTAAAGATCTTTCGCTGTATTTACCTGTAAGGAGGGACCTGCTGAAGTGAAATTTATACCTTCAGACACCTGTTGGCCTGAAGCACTGGTCCTGGCTTGGCTAACACTGTTACACACAGTAATCCTAGCTCTGGTTTGTTCTCCTTACTGTATTATGATATGAACAATCATTGCCGCAGAGTGAGATAGAATCCCACTATGTTGTTGGGCTGTATGTTCTTTATAGCCAGAAAGCCAAAGGCCACAAAGAATGAAATCTTCCTGAAGTCCAAGTGGCTGTTGGGAGGGGTTGGGGTGATCCAGAGTGCCTTCCTCATTCTCTCAAAGTTTCCCTCCTAGGAACAGTTGTTCAGCATTTCAAGTTGGTTCAGGCAGGAGTGATGTGATCTGAAGACCAAGTCTTGAGAAGAAAACAGCTGCCCTCAGGATCATTGTTTAGGTCCTGGGCTGGACAGGCTGGATTCCTGCAATAGGATGGCTGAGTGGCATTTACAAAGTTTAGAGTTTATGCTCTTAGGGATTTGTTTTTTCAATTCTCTCTGGGAGCCATTGTGGATTTCATTGTTGAAGAGGATAATGCTGCCAACACTGTATTACTAAACCAGCCATCCATTCTGTAGTTTCGTTCCTGCTGAGGCTTTAATGTGGGGTCACTTTGGAGGAGAAAGGGCTGCTGTGCTGAGGTGGTTGGAGGAAAGGGGACCGCCAAGAAGGTTGGGGGGAGGGAAGAAAACAGATCTATGAGGAAGATAGTTCTGCGTTTTCCAAAAAGATGACAGTAGACATGGTCTGTGAAAGGTCCATTCTCATTTCTTCATCTTTGCTCAGTTGGAACAAAGCCTTTTGTTCTGTTGGATTCCTAAGGCCAAAGAATTCAGTGAATCATCATTCCTTGCAAAATGGTTTAAAAAGTATTTAAGATCATCTATCGTCAACCACCTTTCTTTTTAAAAAATTTTTATTAATTTATTTTGACTTATCAACAATCACTTTCATAAGCTTTTTAGTTTAAAATTTTTCTTTCCCTTCCTCCCCACCACTCTCGCGAAGATGGCGCACAATCTGACATAGGCTATACATATACATTCCTATTAAACATATTTTCACATTAGTGATGTTGTAAGAATTAGAACCAATAGGAGGAACCACCAGAAAGAGGAAACAAAACTCAACAGAAGAAAAAAAAATAGCAAATAGTATTCTTTGATCTACATTCAAACTCCATAGTTCTTTCGTTGAATGTGGATAGCATTTTCCATCACCAGGCCTTTGGAGATGTCTTAGATCCTTGTATTGCTGGGAAGGGTTAAGTTTATCAATCGCACAACGTGGCTGTTATTGTGTACAACGTTCTCTTGGTTCTGCTCACTTCACTCAGCATCAGACCAGACAAGTCTTTCCAGGTTTTTCTGAAGTCAGCCTGTTCATCATTTCTTACAGCACAATAGTATTCTATTACATTCATATACCACAACTTGTTCAGCCATTCCTCAATTGATGGGCATCCTCTCAATTTCCAATTCTTTGCCACCGCAAAAAGAGCTGCTATAAATATTTTTGT